TTGTCACAGCAGACTATCACTTGCTTTGACACTTTTACCCCAAACTGATCTGAAGATGTGACTCTTAACAGAAAAAAAGCCTGTACACTATTTCAAGATGATAATAAGCGTATCTCAGAAGTGTGATGTCACATCTGAACATGTACAACTCGAGTAAATAATCTGGATACATATCTTGCTTCGTCCTGTTTGGTTTGGGGTTGTTGGTTTTGGGGTTGCTTTTTTTTCTTCAGAAAGCAAATTCCTCTTAGGTTTAATTCTGCTCTCGGTTTTAGCTCTGTACTCTCTTCAAGAAACGTTTGTGCTCAGTGAAATGAGACTTTGAAGATTATAATATACATCAATTAAATCTCCAAGAGGAGAGCAGTGTTTATTAAAAAAAAAAAAAAAAAGGCTGTTTGAGGATGAAGCACGTGATTAAACCAGTCTGTTATTTATAGGTGCTGGATGTATTTGAAAATGAATGCTTTTTCCAGCTGGTGATGGAGAAGCATGGCTCGGGTCTGGATCTCTTCACATTCATTGATAATCAGCCCAACTTGGATGAGCCATTAGCCAGTTATATATTCAGACAGGTGAGAACACAAATGCTACATGCAGGTAAGATTTGGCTAATATAAGAACCAGGGCCCTGTTTCATTTCATACAGGCTAATCAGCTGGTGTGCTGAATTGGAGTCATGTTCGATACCTGCAGAACCTTTCCTCGTCGGTCTGTAGGACTGATTGAAATGCTGCCTGAAGAACCCTCGTTAAGGTTTACCTAGAAACTTGTAACAGAGAAGCCTTTGCAGGACCTTACTGCCTGTAAGGGTTTCCAGTGGAGCCATGGCCCCTCAGCTGTGACTGGGGCAGAACACAGCCCCTGTCGCCAGGATGCCATTCATGTAGTAGTCACATTTTCTCTGAGGGAGGAAGAAAGCTCAGAGAAGCTGCCCCAAGCTCCACAAAAAGCCACATTTTCACTTAGTTCAGTGCTTTGTTTAGATTGGTTACAGGGGTAAAGGGCTCTGTTCTTTAAATCAAGAAGTTCTCTTGGATTTTAGACTGGCATAATGCAAAGTAACTCAGGGTAGTTTTCCTGTGAGCCAGGAGCTTGCCCAGTAGGTGATTGAGAGCTGAATTGTCCTTTGTTCAGTGAGTTAACCGCAGCAGCAGTCCCCAAGTAACTCCCCCTCATGAGTTTTGGAGTAAATTCCATGCTCTGTGGTATGCAGGAATAGTTATGCACATTCTCACCTCCCCCACATCCCTGCCTTGCCCACCCTCCCCTCACCTGGAGTGTTGATGTCCCTTTAGCCTTGTGACAGATCAGCCCTTTCCCTAACCCAGCCTGCAGTTTGTAGGGCTGCCTTGTTCTCTCAGATCTGTACAGCATTTCTCTGCAGAGGATTATAAATAGAAACTTTTCTCCCTCAGCCATCTGCTTTTCTTGTTAAATGCATTGCAAGGATCACGAATGTCTCCAAGGTGGTATCATTCTGATGCTATCCTTGATTATGGCACTAATGCATGAATTGTGCAGGAAGAGGAATGGAATTTAGGAGCGACTATATTATTTATACCAAACTGTTCTCTTAAATGCTTTGTCATCCTGCAGTATGGGAGGTTCACAGTAATATCCTTCTGGAGAAGCCAAAAGACCCTCCAGACGAAGCTGGGATAAAAATAGAGTAACCTGCAGGATTGTAGCAGTGAGTTCTGAAGCTTCTCACCAAAAAAACCAATCACATCATGACTGCAGCATGCCCTCCTCCTGCACATTTGTGAGAGGAAAGCAAGCAAAGCCTTTTGTAATTGTCTCTCCCAAGAGCATTGCAGCACCCACTGCAGCAATGCTGGCAGGCGGACCTGGGATCATTTCCAGTTACCATAATTAGGATGTATATCTTGTTTAGATGGTGTCAAAACAAGCCAAAATGTGACTCTTGGAATACTGCGATGCCACATCGATTATCCAGGACACCTCTATGTAGTAACACCTAGTTCTTTACTCCTCTTTCAGCTTGTCTCAGCTGTCGGGTACCTCCACTGTAGGAACATCCTTCACAGAGATATCAAGGATGAAAACATTGTCATTGCTGAAGATTTCACAATTAAATTAGTGGACTTTGGTTCAGCTGCCTACCTGGAACCTGGGAAATTGTTTTATACCTTCTGTGGGACAATTGAATACTGCTCACCAGAAGTGCTGTCTGGCAAACCGTATGTAACCCTCTGAAAAGTTATTTTTGTGCCATCACACCAAAAACCCATGCCTGCAGGGCTGGAACAGAGAAGCCAAGTTGCTGTGCCGTTGGAACTCTGCTAGAGTATCCAACCACAGGGAACTGCAGCAAGATTCAAGGCACTGCAGTGACAGAAGTCGCTTGTGAAAGTTTGAGTGCATACAAAGTAGGGCACTGTGGTGACAGAAATCAGTTGTAAAAGCTTGAATACGTACAAAGTTGTTTCTAAGTCTGTTGTCAGGCTTTCTCCACCAAAAGCTGCTCTTTTAGAGAGGTGGTGTAAGCAAGTATTGCTGTCAATAGCACCTGCCTTGTGTGTCTGTGCCTTGTATTCTCACACTCTCATCTTTTGTGTTCTCTCCTTTCCTACGCGCTTCCCTGTACTTGAATTTTTGCAGTTTAATCCTTGGTCATCTCCCCATTGATTTTTGTGCTCCTTGGGACTCGAGGATTCTTCCCTTGCAACTTCTCTTGCTGCTGTTTTGGATGTGCTGCCTGAATCTTGGCTGTCTCTTCCCTCTTCTTTCCCTCTCCAAGTACTCTGTACCTAGCAGCTGACAGTCCTGTACCTGCTCCACAAGGAAGACTCCCCATCCCAGGGTGGTACCTGCAGTAATTGGATGTGCCTGTATGTATCTTGCTCCCACTTCACTGCTGTTTTCGTTGGTCCTTCAGGCAGCTCCTCATAACAGAGTGGGGGGGGAAGAAGCAATGCCAGGAGGAGAGGAAATTCCCACTGGGAATGAGATGGAAGGTGAAGCAAGCAGCTCTGCCCTGGGAGTTCTCCCTGTTGCTGTGTGAAGGAACTGTCACGTTTTCTCAGATGGAATTCCTTTGTTTTGAAAGGGCTGGGGGGACCTGTTTGCTCTTCCAGTTAAATATTTACTTGATAGTTTTGGCTTATAGTGAAGAAGTTGTAGGGGTAAGTTCTCTTGTCACCAGCTTACGTGTGTGGAAGTCTGGGTACATGTTACACACACTCATCAACAGAAACTGGTTGGCCATTCTGTGGTGGTTTTATTTCCTGGAGAAGGATAATGCAGACTTCTCAAACACATGAGAAACTGCTTAGAATTCTCACAAACTTCCCATGTTAAAATAAAAATTGGGGAAAAGGGCTATCAGCCTCCTTTTTTCTTTTTACTTTCTTTTGCAGATAGGTATATACTTGCAATCTGAGTTTAGGCAAGCTTATCTCTGCACAGGTACCATGGCCCCGAGCTGGAGATGTGGTCCCTTGGCATCACCCTTTACACCTTGGTGCTTGGGGAGAATCCCTTCTGTGAGCTGGAGGAGGCCCTGGCAGCTGTCCTGAATCCTCCTCGCCCTGTGTCAGATGGTGAGCTCTTTCCATTTGCCTTTTTAAAGGAGCAGATCTCTGTTTTAAAGGAGTCGGAAAGTATAAGCAGTGTTTTTTCACCACGAGTAAAGGGGAAGCCTGAAAAGAAGCTCCCCAGTGTGCTCTGTGATGATTTTAAAAGCTGCTCAGTGCAGCAGAGTTTGGGCAACTGGTCAATCTTTGAATATAAACCATATCTCACATTCCCAGCTTGTCTAAAATACAGCCTGAGCCATCCCTCTGCTGTCTCTGCCCAGGTCTCATGGATCTCATGGCTGGGCTTCTGCACCCCATTCCAGAGCAGCGCACGACTCTAGCTGTGCTAGCCGAGGATCCTTGGCTGCGGCAACCCGTGAACCTGGCTGATTACACCTGGGCAGAGGTGTACATCTCTGCTGAGCCAGGTGAGACCACCTCCTGAAGGCTTCTTCATCCAGCAAGGATTTATAGAAGCCTGAACTGTGTTAGCGGGATAGTTCCCAACCGAAGGTCGCCTGCTGATACCCACGTGTGCCCAGTTTATTAGTGTTCTTACCTAGGACATGCTTCAAAGCTGTGAGGCCAAGATTTTAATGTTGTTCAAATTGTCCATAACTCAGAATATATATTTATTGTCTGCTTTTACTTTTTATATGTAGTTTTCGTATCTTTCTAAAAAGTGAATGAATAAATTAGTGATAATACCTCTGGGTGTTTTCTGGAGTATGTGTTCGCAAAGGAGCCTTAAAAACAGACACGTAATCATAATTTGGGGGCGGGGGGCTGGGGTGGTTATGTCTTTTTTTTATGTCAGAGTCCTCTCTATATCCAAGAAAGTAGGCCTTGATTTTGATGAGACAAAGATGTTGGAAAGAAAAAATAGATTCAACAGAATTTGATTGAGACACAGGTAACAGGAACATATTGGGATGCAGCTCAGGGTTAGGCTGCTTGGGAGGAAGTGCCGGGAGAGGCAGCAGTTCTGCCTGGCTGCAGCCGCTGTCTGACAGCAGCTCTGCGGAGAAGCAACAGGACTCAGCTTAAAGCCAGGTAAATTACTAAAGATTAGCTCTGAGTCCGGCTTTGGACTCTGCTGTCTCCATCCGAACACATAACTAGCTGCCTTCCCGGTACCCTGTGTTCTGTAGCACCGCGCTTGGGCTGTGCTTCGGCTCCGGCCCGGGCGGGGAAGATGACCCGGTCATCGCCTCTGCGGGCCATGGGCAGCGGGCACGGCGCTCCGCCCGCGGTACCGCTCTGCTCTGCCCCGAGCAAGGCAGCCCTGCACGCCCGGGGAGGCCGGGTCTGGACACCCGCGCCGGGCCGGGCTCCCACCCTGCCGCTCCTCCCCGTTGCCCGGCGCTGCCCACAGGGCGGGGGCGGAGCAGCGCGGCGGGGCCTTCCCGCCTGCTCCCCGCGGGCCCGGGCCGCGGCCATGCCGGGGCTGCTGCTGCCGGTGCCGTGCGGGGCCGTGCGGGCGGTGGTGGCGGGGCGGGCGCTCCTCGCCGCCCTCTGGCCGTGCCCCCGCCGCGGCTGCGGGGAGGCGGCGGCGCTGCGGGCCATGGGCTTCAGCCAGGAGCAGGCCCGGCGGCTCCAGGGGCTGCAGCCCCGGCTCGGCCCCGAGCGCCGCGAGGCGGTGGCGGCGCAGCTGCTGCTGCTGGGGCTGAGCGCCGAGGCCGCCCTGGCGCTGCTGGAGCAGAGCCCGGCGCTGCTGCGGCTGCCCACGGAGCAGCTGCGGGAACGCGCCGAGGAGCTGCGGCGCCTGGGGCTGGACGGAGGTAGGGCGGCGCGGGGAGGACGGGGGGGCGCACCGGGGCCCGGCCCGGCCCGGCCCGCTGACCCTGTGCCTGCAGGTCGGGGCCCGGCCCGCT